TGATGATGATGTGATGGATGATAACGTGTGAAGGAGTCTCACAAACTGGAAGATGATCGCTGTCTGTTGTGTCCGCTTATGCCACAACCGACTGTAGGACGCCGTCATGATGATGATGATGATGATAACGTGTGAAGGAGTCTCACAAACTGGAAGATGATCGCTGTCTGTTGTGTCCGCTTATGCCACAACCGACTGTATCTCGGACGCCGTCAAAGACAGGTTTTACGACACCCTGAATGTACTGCTGCGGCGAGCTAAAAGCCCGGTTATCGTAGTGGTTGCCGGAGATATGAATGCGCAAGTGGGCAGGCTCAGTGCATCTGAGACTCAGTTAGGAGGTCGACATGGACTGGACTTGGAACTTACGGACAATGGGGAACGATTGCTTCAGCTCTGTGTTGATCGCAGGCTATTTTTATGCAGTACGAACTTCCGAAATAGCCGAAATCGCCTGGCTACTTGGTGTCCTCCAACGGCAGGCCGGCCACAAGCTCAAATCGACCACATTGCCTTCAGTTACCAATGGAGCGGATTAATAACTCACTGCCGGTCGTTTTGGAACACATTTGTGGGCGCTCACCACGCGCTCGTCCGGAGTCACTTCTCCCTACTCACAGGAATCATCTTCAATAGTCTCTTCCAAATGTTCCACCAGATTTGAATCCATACTTGGACGAGATTGCCACCGCTTTGCATAGTGCTGGGAATTTCGCCTGTGGCACCACCCATCCAGGCGCACTCAAGCACTGGATATCAGACCGAACGGTGGCACTACTTAAATCTCGAAGAAATATCCCAGCCGGTCCCGAACATAACCCGATGCGAAGAGTTGTCAGACGTCAAGTGAAAGTGAGCTTGCGATCCGACCGTGAAGTATGGTGGACACAGAAAGCCAAAGAAATGGAAGAGGCCCAGAAGGCCGGTAATGCCCGAATTTTATTTCAGTTGATCCGTGCGACTGGTCCGCGGAAACCACCTGAGTGAAACCATCAAGCATCAGAATGGAACGACCATCTCGAATAAGGAAGCGCCTTGACCGGTGGGCTGAATACTTCGAACAACTGTCGTGGCCATCAGCCGGAACTCATCTACAGTCCACAGGTGAAGTAGAACCCCGGACGGTGAACGTGGAACCACCTACGGCCTCGGAGGTTTACGGCTGCATATGTTCTCTCAAGCGCCACCGAGCTCCCGGTCCGGATGATCTTCCACCCGCACTGTTCAAAGACGTATTGAGTGTGGTAACCAAAGGGGGAGTCAGCTTGACCCCGGTCGTAACGAGACTGTTGGCGTCAATGGTGCTTCGTCGCCTTAGAGTGGCTCGTGAGATACTGACTCGAGAGCAGCAAGCGGGATTCCGGCCTGGTGTGCGTATGCCGAACCATCATCTGCCGAAAAGAGTACTGTTTTCCATGCCCAATTCGGAGTGTTGTAAACAGAAGTGACCAACCCTTGACTTGGCAGAGGAGTATGAACGAGATCACGAAACGCTTGGGTGCTGTCGGTGCTACTCGCCTTCCAGGATGGGGACCGCGTGATCCTCAGTGTGCCTGGTTGGAGACACTACAAGATATGGCTGCCAACCGATGTCAGAGGCGACCTTGTTGTCAGTTTCTATCCAGATCGCCTGAGTGAATGTCTGGAGGTGTAGGCACCTCGGAATGATTGTGTTAAGCTAGCACTAAGTCCCTCCCCCATCCACCTTTATTCTTTTCTTTACAATAAGGCTTTCAAATAAGTCATGGTTGTACGGCAGTGAAGCATCGGTGCTGAAAACTGATGTCATGTCGATGATGACGATGAGCCAAGCACAGACGGGGTCATGAAGACCTCATCCTGAAAGGCGAACCACATCACCACCCAAACTTTTCTTGATTTCTTTCACATCAAGCTGTCAAGTCATAAGTTGTCCACCTCGCAGCTTTATGGGATGTGTGCACAGACTGCTCGTTCTGAAGAATGACTTTGCTATCTGAAAGTAACAGGCGCATGCGAAAGATGGTCTGCAGTGAAGGGTGAATGAGTATTTCCTAAGGAAGTACAGCTATGGAGAGAACAGCTGGTTAACGCAGAAGCTGGAGAGATGAATCTCAAAACAGTTGATTTTTAAGCAGTCCTCCGAGCACGTTGAGAACAGAGGCTGCTGAATGCGGGGAGAAAAACTAGCGGTAGTTCATGGGACTAATCGAATGAAACTCCGTAAGATGAATTGTCAGTTCGAACTAAATATCCTCGTATTTACTGAAAAATGACGCACTTCAGAGGTCAATCAGTGAAAAACATGAGACTTACTTTTCAACCCGTTTTGGAAATCCGTCCTATGTGAAACGGAGAGGAAAGTTCTGACCACATCTGTTCAATTTACTTCTATTAAGATTGCCTCTCCTGGATAAGAATGCTCCATTGTAAAGATATTCAACGCCTGGCTCTCGAGTACATAGTTTGTACGGTGAAATCTGAATGCCTAATTTCGGGTCCATTCAATTCTCGACCTAAACTATCTCGAGCAAAGTGGACAGTAATCAGTCCCCTATTATCCCCATGGAATAATGCTGTGTGCGGTCATCCTACGAGGCCAAGCATAGATGGTTGGAAGACAAACTATCACGGTATGAATGTTAGTGTCTGCCTGGGTCTGCAATATTCCACCCACTCCGTACATTGAGTAGATACGCATTCGGTAGTGGCCAAGATGAGTGAACCAGTAGAACGATCCTCTCGTGTAGGAAGTGACCAAGCTCCAGATGGACAAACAGTCCCCTGGAAACACCCAGGATCAGGTATAATGCGTTATGAACGAGATTTGCGGATAAAAATAAACAATCGCTGCCTCGAACCTGTACATGAGAAAAACCAAGGCCATTAAAGGAAATCCATCGTTCCCGACCTGGGTGCTCCTGGAAGCGGACGATGGTAAAGCAGTCCTACGATAAATTTTGCGGTTCATCAAGGGTCGTTTCGAAGCACTTCTGGATGAGTGGAAAGTTAGATGGGCGGCACGGTAGAAAACAGCAAATGTTGAGTCCACACTTGCAGGGCGCCGGACATGATCCTGTTGAATACCGACCAGTAAGTTACACGCAGCATGCACGGACGAGGGATGCAACACAGCACAACTATGGGGAGTTGTTTTGTGGGCACCGGGCTGCCACAGCCTACACTCAGTTGAGCTAATCTGGACATCATTTAACCAACCAACTTGAGTTATTCCTAACTCCCGATCAAGACCCATCGCGTAATAAGGACAACCTGCCTCAGGCTGAATCAACAAATTCCAATTTAGGGGCTGGAATATTCAAAACGAAAGCAGTCTACTTGCGTACCGTTGGCCTAACGGGCCTGAATTGTGTCCGAAAGAACTGCGGGGAAGATTTGAACAGCTGAAAAAATACCTCACGATGTCCGGAGTAGGATGTACGACAGGGTATCCCAGAGAGCTATTAAAGTAGATGATAACGTCCTACTCAACCGGCCATTTCCACGAGTTGCGCCTGCGTGATCCCTTACCGACACCATTGTGGCTTCCAAACCGGCAGGGAAAATCAAGATGAGTAGCTGGAAGCGGCGGGAATTCACGCCATGCATCCTTACTGATCCCGAGTTATTAATCTGCCATGCTGAGTAGTGGGGTCAGCAGACGCGGAACGAGTCTTCGCTTTTCCTGATCGCCAGAGATTCCGATTTCGAAAGTCACCCGGTGACCAAGCCATCATAGCTTTTCTCGTTGCTGTCTGATTGCCGCAGCACAACACCACTAACCATTACTACCACGTGGCACGGGTCTATTTAGAACTTGCGGACCTACGAACCCATTTGGACACAGGACGCCATAGTCCAAGAGCTAATGTTGACATTAGTACAATCTTAAATGTACACTCAGTCACTTTGGACGCGGTACGCTCGCACGCAACAGTACTAGGGCCATACTCGCTAATTAAAAAGAGAACACTCATTCCCACAATACATATATTGTGCAAACTATTCCGTAGCCACCAGCTCCTTCTGCAACTGAGCCAAGTAGTGAGCCTTCTTAGCCCGCACACGCTCCTTCCTCTGTTTCAGTGACATCTTCTTTTTCTTGAAAGACTTGTGCGTCTCCAGCTTTACTGAAGGTTGTGCAGGTGTCGGATCGGCACGGATGGCTGCATGGGCTGCTGTATACATCGCTTCGAGATTGTCTGCATTGACCCCCTCTTTGATGTACCGACCAAACTGTCGCTTGTATGCTTCTTCATCCTCTGCCTGCAAAGAGCGCATATACTCTGCCACGTGTTGGCCCAAGATCCTGGACCGATGACCTTCAGGTTTGTACTCTTTATTTTCGGGGTCATATCCAGGAAAGCGGTTGGTACCGTGAGGAATGGAGAGACCACCATCTACTGCTCCCTAAAAGCCCTGATATAAGCGTCGTTGAAACCTACCTTGAGTGCACCAAAAACGTTGGCCCCGAGAGTAGTTCTAGCCAATCCGACGTCGAGATAACATCGAAATGCACCCTTCTCTCCCTCGATCGACTCAACATTGTAGTCCTCGCCATCAGTTTTTTCAGCTCCGGCGTACAAAGAATCCAACTTCAGCTTCTGAAGAACTCTACGAGCACACAGCAAGCCGGTGCAGTAGGCAGCTGCGTAGTTTGTGAGCCCGACCTTCACGCCATATCTGGTAAGCTCATGAGCATACGCACAACTTAATACACGGTCGCCATTCATCCGTGCGTAAACAACCTGAAACTCCGAGGCTAATGCAATTCGAATACCTGGCACACAATGTCTCTGTTCGTGATCCGAACAACAAGCCGGTACTTTGGAGTATTATACTTATTCTTGGCCTGCCAAATCAGCCGCTTTCTCGCAAAGTAGTCAGTCTTTCCCTCTGAGAAACGTGAAATTACAGCAATATAAGTTACCTCGCCTCCTGCGGAACTTTACCTGATACCTCTTGAAATACGCCTTGGTTTTCACAAGCTTGACTAGACCCTGAAAGACAGCATTATCAAAAGGACCACAAGGACACGAACCATGCCCACGAACAAGCGCGCCTAGCGTAAACGAAAGTACCCAAGGTCGTCAGTGCATCTAAACCAAAAATCGGCCTCTAGGTCGAACCTTGAGTTCATGATAGGATGGAGGGTTAGCAACACCACTAAAGAACGTTGCATGACACTGAAAATAAATGGAAGAAGCAGACAAGGTAAAGTGAGCCCATCAACAATGACGACTGGAACAATCACTTAGCGTGTGGTTTCTAATAATGGCAGTCTTTATGAAGATGTGGAAATAAGTTTATCGTTCCCAAGTGGACCAGGTACTAAAATACTCTCGATCCGTCTACCAAGAGGGCAGCCGCCTTTTGTTTTTCTCTCTTGGTGAAAAGGTGAACCAGAAAGGTAGTGTGACTAAAATGGCCTGGCCGAGGGTGTTTTCAACTGTGTCGTCCACGGGCTGTGCAGACATCTAGAAGCGCGCCACAAGCCAAGTAAAAATGAGCCGATATTTCAAGAGTGCCTTAAATTAGTGTTATGAGCTTTCTCTCACTGATATATCCCAGGCCTCACCTCTATATGAGACAACGATTCGAAGTCCCATTCGCCGACGATGTGATTATGGATGCGTACGCATATCCATGTGAATGGTTCATAATGAGTTGTCAAACCATTCAGAGATAGGTTGAGCTCAATGTTTTGTTGATTCCCCTTCGTCACCAAATGTTAACTGCTTACGCCGAGCCATTTGGAACAAGAGTCGCCAACAGATCACTAGCACGGAAGAACACTGGTGTCGAGTTCAGGATGAGGCCTGGAAAGACAGCTTAATACAGGTTCCAATGAAGATGTCCAAGAAGAAATATCGGACCGGAAACCACATTCGGAGTTAGGGCACATAAATAGACTATGCAAATCACCTCCAATTAACTGATGTCAACTTTGGCCCGCCATTTCAACAACAGGATTCAAAGGTTTTGGGTCCATGTGATTTGTTTTGGACCGCGAGAAGTAAGAACCAAACCTGACTACCCTTCACTGCATCGCCCGTCCAACGCAGACGCCCATCTAAGGTCCTTGGGCAAAACTGACAGAATCCCTTGGCGATGCACGGATCCACTGTGAACCACGAGAATCGTCGCCTCCATCTCGTGAGACCCAGTCTTGCCAGGCGGGGCGAAGATCTTGGGTATGCTACCGCCGATTTGAGTGCAACGACCCAAATATATGAAAGGGCGGTGGGAGATGAAGTCGACTCAAATGTCAGTTTAGCTAATTCTGTTGGCTTGGAAAACTTTACGCTCATATGGTTAATCTTGAAGTCGCTCCAGGGGTGGCCTTTCAGCAATTCCGGGTTAAATTTTCTCCCATATTTGAAACCGGATACCTTAACTCACTCCGTTTAGCGCCTACCTTACAAGCCGGACACCTACCTGTAATCTCTCATGAACCCACGACCTGTTGAACCACGATTCGGATACTCGCGGTACCATGTCTCGTGCAAAACTTGCCATTCTGTCAAGTCGGTATGCGCCCTTCAACGGGTGTACCGCTTCTCCCAATTTCCTGTGATGTGCTGATACTACCTCTTTACTAGGACTAATAGATGTAGGATATGTGAGAGGAAATTTACGCAATGTGGAGTCTGTATCTTGTTGTACCTACGGTCTTGAGTTGTTCAACATATTGGTTTGCTTCATACGTGAATTACATTCCAATCCAGAAAAGGCAATTATCATACTTTGGTTACTGTAGGGAACGTTTTAACAATCGAAAACCCAACCATCCAACAAACGAATGGTGAGTCGCCAAAAGCTACGAAAAACCGGAATGTGATACATATCGCCATGGGTTACCGCAAACGGCAGCACGTATGAGGTCGTCCCCAGATTAAAATCCCAGCGTCTTTCATAATATTTCCTCCAGAGGCCTTCGGTGGTTTCATGGGCTCGTGCCACAATGTCGCTCTTTAGAGATGATTACTTTGTGCCTCACTGTCACTTGTATTTGCAGATCAACCCGGCTTGTTGAATGGCACCAAAAACACTAAAGTTCAGCCCGATCAGTTGGCAGTGAAGGGAATACATCGAATTTTAGTCTACTAATTGAATATGCTGACACGAGAACTGCGTATTTTGGTCACCGTTTCCTTATCCATGGAATCCAGGGTGCCAACTGGTAGTTGTTTGTGTCAGTGTGGAGAAGGTTTTTTAAATTTTCCTTTGGCTGAGTTGTTGAAGTTGTTAAACTTGATAAACGGTGTCCAATGAAATAAAATATCGCAACTTGCCGAAAAAATACTCGCCATCATTGGACGAAAGTTGCAGCTTGTTCAGCAGCCATAATAACTTATGGAAACTGCGACATCCATACAGTGTACTAGGCGACACAAAATATGTGAGAAGAACACTCCAATATGTATCATCTCATACGATCTGCTCGGTTAAACGGATGCCGAAATATTTGTTCCCGCAACTGGAGTGCTCATCGTGATGAAAGTATTCATTAGCTTATGATAGCTCGTAATAGGTTTAAAGGACGTGAGGCTTGCGAATGTTGATGACCTATGCTCGTTGGTTAAGTTTTCCGATGCACCGCTTGATTTCATTCTGGAAGTATTCAAGTTCTTATGACTGGCAGCAGAGGGCTTCGTTACAGGCGGCCAAAGGTAACAGGCTTTTATATCCAGTCGCAGGGATTCGCCAGACAGAGATGTGCAACATGAACTGCTAATTACGAAGCCAAACCACTGAGTCTCACCCAAATTCAAGGAGTAGCCTTCACCACTAAGTTGAAATTGCCCAATGACGCTATCACTGCTTGCACGATACGGCATCAAAATCTAGGTTGATGTACATGACTGAAATGTGGCTGGGTCTCACGAAGCGTACTAAATTGGCTAGATGCAATCAACTTTGCTCATAACGGAGAGCTGAACGAACCTAGCTAACCTACATGGCTAACACGCACCCACTCTTCTGATCTGGGAAATGGCAATGGTCTAACTCGGACGGGACAAAATGTTGAGTATTGTTGGGCGATTTGGTAATCACAGGTGACGTGGTATGTACGGCCTTCTTGGTGCCTAGCAAGTGTTCATTGGCCTACAGACTTCCTGACACAAGAGGCTAATGTAGGTTAATATCTCGAAATATCACTGCGGGGAAAGTGGCTGATAAACTTCTGGCAATGCATACTGTATAAAGCGTGCACCTCAGTTGGCAATCCCGTGGAATTGTGCCCATACAACGTTGTTTTCAATTGCTGGTTAGAACCGAATTATTAATTGTAGCTGAAGCCTGCCGAGTATAGGATTAACAGACTTAATTTGACTCAGCGGTGCAACTAGAAGTGAATGGATTTATCATCGTGTTAGAATAAAGATTCATTTTTACCTCGCGAAAACAAGGCCTAAGCTCGACTTCCATATCCGGAGTACGGTGGCTGTTGGGCAGATGTCTCAGCTGCATCACTTTAAATCACCATTGTTCTCTTTTTCAAACTGGCCTTCTAAAGCATTGGGACTAGTCATGGCTTTTAACTACTCCTCCTGGAGCCAAATGTGTACTCTCATAACCTCTACGACATAGTGCGCGGGGATCATGTGTTCCGTTTCAAGTCAGCCCCACACCATGGCTTCTTCTCGCACAAGGACATCTTAATGGTAGGCTCTACAATGTCTGAGGGGTGACTAGAAAACCACAGAGCTTGTATCTGTGAGCCACACATAGCTGCTCCAAAAATACATAAAAATCGGCTCGCCACGTGTGTTTCATTGACGTATCACCACAGCTGAGAAGTGTCGGAACAGCACCATTTGCTGCCATCTAGGGAAGCCAATTTCGCTGCACTGCTCTTCCTCCGGCTGCAACAAAAGCAACTGTCTGGATTCGCAATGCCTAATCAGGACAAAAGGCATGAATCTGCAAAAACTAAAGCCCCTACTAACCATCACGTACTCAACAGAGCTTGGTGACACCTTAGGTAGTGATTGTAATGTGTCCCTAGCAGTAACGACCATGCTGGCATCATTGGCTAAAAACTGCGCTATTCCTCTTGGATTAACGGTCAGTTTACGGGAACTCGGTCAAGTAAAATATATTGTCATCCCATTAATATGTCGAAGCTGTTGAGGGCAGCTCCGAGATGGTTTTCCTGTCTCCTTATGCAAAGCCACGCTGGACACAACAGCACACTATTTGTGCTGTTCATGATCAGCAAAATCAAATCCTATCAAAATTCAGATTATTGTAGTTTTGTTTTGGGCGCACGCGCAACATGGTGAACACACACTTACACAAACAATTTCTTTCGACATAAAATGTTTTGAAGAAAACTGCGTATGTCGGATAAGGCTTAGCCAAGCTGGAACGCCAAGGAACTTGAATTTAGGACCACCGGACGGAGCTAGTAGAAGTTGAAGATACAATGTAATATGCCCAATCAACTGCGACATCTGTTGTTATTACGGCGCTGGGAAAACCGAAGTAAACTCTACGAATAACTAACACTGGAACGCCAAGGAACTTGAATTTAGGACCACCGGACGGAGCTAGTATAAGTTGAAGATACAATGTAATGTGCCCAATCAACTGCGACATCTGTTGTTATTACGGCGCTGGGAAAACCGAAGTAAACTCTGTTTACGAATTAACTAACACAATCTAGCCGCTAGAAAGAGTGGTGTACCGTCACCGATTTCAATATTTAATGAAAACGGAAGCATGGATCCGGTTTAACTTAATTGAATTTCTGGGTCTAGAAAGATATTTCAGGCGTGAAGTGCCGTGTTCATGGCACTTAGTCACGAGCTCAAAAGCTACTATATGGAAATCCAAGACATGCGATTGATCAACAACGCAGTCTAACAGCTTAAGTGAACCAGTGTGTGAGCCGGGATGAGTGGCCACCAAAAACCTACAGGATAGAATTTTATACTGTGTAATACCGCAACCTTCGAAAAGGCAAAATAATGTCGGAACTGGGTACAGTACGGTACCAATAATGTAAAATGTATATTCAAAAAATAAATTGACCTCGACAGTAGGTACTCATCCGCGACAAATGGTCCACTTACAGTACATGGGTACAAATCAAATGAGCGAACAGTTTTCCACGTGAGACAGTCACCAGCGCACGAGGTGGGCCATACGTTGGCCGGATGATCTCAAGGTTAAATAAGTGAAGCAGCAGGAACGAAAAAACACGCACTTGCTACAAACAGAAATGCGAAGCTGGGGTTACAAATAGGGACGGAATAATTGTGGGGCATTCGAAATGTCAATTAGTGAACGATACGACCCCCGCCAAATTCTCCAAGTTAAATAAGCGGACGACCCGGTTCTTGCACTCTAAAAATGCTCAGTTTCATTCTAAGGTGTGCGAGTGAAACAAATGGTCTGAGTCTACTCCTGCTGTATTTTCGGCTTCGATAGAGTACAAGCCATATCACGTGTCTCCACTTATTATTATTTTGCAATATCTTCTAGAGAACACCGCTCGCCATTCTAACATGAGGGCTATTACGGATCCATTTGAGCTCGCCTCACGTCCATTTACACAAGAGGGCAGAACCTATTTCCTCACCCTGCCTGCTTTAATAAACATATATTTATTGCAACGTAGTGACCAAGCTGCAACCTTGAGTAGTCTCACTCAACAGGATAACCAGGCTATTAGTAAGCACACGTCATCATTTCTGAGACGTTTTTAAGCATGCACCACAAAGCTCTTTAAATCAATTGGCGTCAGTTATGGTGGTGAAGATCACTTACTTTGTTTTGAGAAGAATCTTGAACCACCCAAGCAACGTAATGTGGTTGTACAACCCTCAAGGGGCGATGTTGGCTGGATTGTTCACCGGTTACCTCTCTCCACTGAATGGATGACGACACATCACGAGTAATTTCTGGTCGATTTGCAACGAAGGTACAAAATCTCGATATGTTGTGTACAGAGTTGAGAACTACCATGGAATCTGCCCAAAACACATTGAACTAAATGTGGCCCTTTTTACCTGCTCTCATAAGGCCTGATTCTATGACTGCTAAACAAAAAGCTGTCAACTCTAATCTTAGTATTGAAACGGTCTTAAGGGGGGCCATCCGCACCGCACTATTATCTGGTATCAATAACGTTTTCTGATTTTCTTAGTGAAGATAGTGTTTTATGCTAAAATATCTGTAAATTTCGAATTGTGGAGCTGCTGCAAAGGGTCATGGATGTCCTGGCTGTACCCGGTCATAAAATGGCTGACAATCTTCGGTCTGGTTTCAGCTCACATCAAACCAGGAAGTAGGGTCCTTACGACAAATGGCCTTTTTTACCTCAGGCTCCGACTATATATCTGGTGCGCTTGGGATGCGACACAATTTGGAAGGTTTCGTCTCCAGCCAACCGGTCAGAGGCAACTTCTTCAAGGGGTGGAAACGAACTGGACACCTTTTCGATAGATTGGATTGCCCGCATGGGTAAGCTGATGAGAACGAATGCTTTGTCAATATCTGTCAACTGACTTCCATCCACTGATAAAAGCCTGGTATCTTTGGCTTCTGACGTGCATCCTTTGGGAACAACTATTGTATCAATTGCCAATGAGGTGAGGTGCAGCCCGACCCTTTTTTTACGAAAAGGTTCTGCTCAACTAACGTTATGTCAGACCCGGCATGTAAAAAAGTATGCGTGGTCAACTTTTTTGTGGGAGTTTCAAGCTCAACAGAAATGACCCCTAAACGTGCTGGAAGCCGGCTACCCCGAGTTAAGCAACGAAACTTTCCGACTGTCCTCTCTTCGTTTCCGGGTTTCTACGCGTGCTCCAACCAGCGATGTCGTGTTCTAAAACCCGGCTTCCCGCAACGGACAACTGACTTGCAATCTCCAGTCATGTAGCAGTTTTCCAAGCAAACAAAGCGTGTATCGTGGTCCCGTATGCAACCCCACCTATCAGGAACTTTCATGGATAGAAAGCGCTGGCAGCCGGAAATTGGGCGGGACTGTGAACATAGCAGGGCCTTGGACTAAGGTCTCTCTCTGGCATCATGTTTGTTAGAAAACTCGTGAAACCATCCCGTCTAAGAGCTTGGTCGGTAGAAGTTGACGGCACAGGAGAGTGTCTTATGTATCCTTCCCGAGTAATAATAATGATGATGTTTATTCACACCTAGTGGGTGATATACCTTCAGTCATGGTCACAGTGTCAGAGTCAGAATGAGATCATGAATGGTGGGGTTTGTGGGTACTGGGAATTTTGTGGAGAAGGGATGTTGACACATAATCCGCCTTCTACAATGCCGGAAGGGAAAACTAAAACGGGAGCAACCTTTTTCGTACCACTGTGTTTCCCGACTGAGCTTGACGCATTTGCAGCATGTATTTCTGGCAATCTTCCTGTGAATAAAAAAATCATCGGTAGTAGAGCAAAAATGCTAACAGACGTTCACTGATTACACATGGTGATAGGCCTCCGAGCCTTCTCGTTTTGTAAAGCCCCTCGCATTTCCTCGGACTGCAAACACGCTATTCTGAGGTTACCTCGTTTTACAACCACGGAACACCGCCAGACACACGTTTTTCTCGGATCTCATGCATTTGTTGGCTCCGGGCTACCTTGGTTGTGCACAGTTTGGCCGGTGAAAACCCTCATAACCACGTATGCCCACACCCGTCCGAATCGACCTCATACCTATTATCTGCATCTTAATATCAATCGCCGGTTTTGAAATTGGGCAGTGTCGTCTCGCTGCAGTAGTTTGGAACTTCTACAGATTTGACCGCTCGTCATTTCGAGCCATGGTCTAACTAACATCATGATGCTTTCTAGCAAACAATTTTGAAAACTTTTCTTATTTTACGTCCTCAAGGTGTTGGAGGACTGTTGCCTTATTGCTTCGCTTAAATGACAGCAATGAGCCACTATGCGCCCTCGTCGGACCCAAGAATATCCTTGATTCATGCTGGTCTTAATTTGTCACGATTCCTTGACAAACCCTTACTACGACGAAAACCCCAAACGACTGACCCAAGACGTCCACGTACGGGACTGTCCATGGACCCGTTGCGGTGGCGGTAGCTCGACTGCCGTACTCAGTCTGATCGTTTGCCAGTAGCTTACCATATCCCCAATATTTCCTGGACGAACTCGCCTGTGACCGTTCCCGGCGAAAGTCGATCAAAAGTTTTGTAGATTGATGTGACAGTCATTCCCTTCGAAACAGAGGAAGGATAGTCCTCGTCGAATGACTGAGGAAGCACCAAGAAGCAATGCTTTCACAGTGTTGGGGGCGTTTTACTCTGGATCCTTGGGCGGGCCTCGTCTGGCTCCAACACGCTGAAGAGGTTTGTCTCGTACAAGAGTTGACCGAAGTCCTCGTGTGTGAAGACCAAAATGGTTAGAAGCTACTTGTAGTTACTTGGAAAGTTGGAGTTTGATGAGGTTGCCGGGGCAGAATGTAGGCCTGTGTGATGTTTTTGTAGAATTCAGATACAGCTATGTGGTCACTCGCGGGTTCTCCGTTTTCGTCTTCAAGGAGAAGGCGTTTAACGTTCTTCGGCGGGGTATTATGTACTTAAATAACATATTTTGGGCCTTCCGGGTGGAGCGTCAACTTCACCTACTGGGATGCGATGCGTGAATTTGTAGCTGAAGGAGAGTAGGGGACTGATGACCTTCAGATGGGCTTGAAGGGCAACGGTAGACCACGACCAGATGAAGAGAATCAGCGCCACACAGCGGGATTCCTCTCATCAGTGCATCACAAAAAGACGCAGCACCGGTATCTGAGAGGACGATCGGGATGGACAGAGCCGCAGGTAAATATATATCTTCATATAGCACCTTAACCTTTAATTAGCCCAAAACTACCGGTGTGCATGTTGAAATGTGGTGCAGACCCCCAACATCTGGATGATTTTTCGAGTATGAGCTCTGTTGTCTCGCGCCTACTGAATTGACTAAAGACACTTGTTGCCCGCGAACTACCTATTCCACTTAAACATAAACTGCCTAAAATTTTCAACCTTACTGATACTTAGGTCACAGAGACCACCTTACTAAATTCAAAGGAGGACCGTGAAACTGGAACATTCGTTCATCCTTCAACCTTGACATCACCGCGTCCTGCCATTGGTGCTGCCAGGTTGGCCCGCTGGCCTTGACTTATTTCTGCTGGGCACTGATGGAGGTTTTGAGGCAATATGCCGGTCTTTGTGATGACGAAATTATTGCATTCGATGCTGCTGTTAAAGAGAAACTTGAAATTGCCTTCGACAATATTGCTCACGAAGCCACATCTTCTAAAGAAAACCAGGAACGCTTAGCGGTAGAACATGGTGGGTTTCTTTGTCCGTTTTCTATCGTTCAGCGCAAACGGTAAAGGTTCTTGAGGGCCAACTCCAGGAATTGGGAGCCGAATGTGATAGACTAAGAGAGAAATCCGTGGAGCACGAAAATTTGCTGCGGAGTGCTGATGAAAAGTCTCGCCGATCTTATGAAGAAAAGGAACAGCATCGGTCCAAGGCCGATGAACTCCAGACTATCAACAATGAGTTGTCTTTCGCCGTTCGCAATCTTGAAAATGAGAAAGAAATGCTGTCTAGTCAGTTACGGTGCAAAATTGAGCATATAGAGGACTTATCAACGGAGATTAAAACGCTTAGAGCTGAGACAGAATCGGTGCACAAGCTAAAAATTGACACTATGCTCCGTTCTGAAGACGTGTCTAGTCGCGAGGCTGCGCTTAAAGTTAGCAACCGCTTTTTGCTTCTAGTTTTTTAGGCTCAGGAATCTCGCTGGGCGGAAGAATGCGCCAGTATGCAACGCCATATCGAATGGCTGGAAGGTCGTTTAAGACAAACAACTGACCAGTTATTAACGGCGCGTCGAGACACTGTAAGAGCCAGTTTCTCTAATCATCCATCAGAGTCAAAAATGTTGCACTTTGGAATCCGAGCTTGAGTCACGCAAAATAGAGGTAAATTCATACTTTGTTTTGACTATTTCTGCAAGCTTGAGCATGCGAAAGAAACCATTCAACGGCTGGAAGAGGGCACGAAAAAGTTGACACAAGCGAACGAAAACTACATTGAAAAACTGAAACAAGTAAGTTCATGCGTGAACCATCATTAATTACAGGTTGCCGATGAACAAATACGGTTAGAACAACTCTATGGCAACGAGTTGGAGGCCCAGAAGCAGCTAATCTCCCTGTACAAGGTAATAGGTAAATTTTTCCAGATTGCGCTTTTTACAGGAACAACTGGCCGACCTCGAAGAAAAGAACACTGAATTGACGGAGGCGGCTGGGTCTATGCAGTCAATGCTGAGGTCAGCGTATGAAAGTATGCTCCCATTCAGTTAATTAGGATATACTAGACGTCGCTCGACTTGAGTCTGAAAAGAGCGCACTGCATGCTCAGCATTCCGAGGAACAAGCGAAACAGCAAGAATCTTCAAAGCAATTGACAATCGAATTAGAGCGCAGTCGACAACTTTTGGATAAATTCCGTGTCGATGGTAGGTTTTTTTAACTTGATGTCTGCTCCTTCGAAGGTAAAGAATTTATTGTGCTGTCAGATTACGTCCCCTACTCAAGGTTCCTTTACTAGAGATACCAGGGAACCTTGCGCTATCGCGAACGTTTGGAGCTATTCATGTTTTCATAAATTTACCAGTGATGAACGGAATGCAAGGTTTCGTAGCCGAAGCTGTCCAGTGCCACTAGAACCTAACGTGAAATTCGGAAGAATGAATGGAATGAATCACTATAGACGAGGTGGAAAACGGGCGTGACAAATAATTGAGCCTACATGGTACTGTCCTGAAAGCCTTCATAACGTATTCCGGCCATCAGCTTTAGACCCTATTTATATCTCATCACGCACCAGCATTGAATATATGGGTACCACTTTGAGAGACGTTTTTCGGTTGTCGTTTTGAAGCAACCGCGCGCTCGGTTTGGCATCCTCGGACTGTGCATCTTTGCACACAGTGTGATAACCTCCAACGGGTTGAGATGCCCCAGGTGATTAGAGTACGAATTTACTGACCAGAAGGTTCTTGGCTCGAACCCGATCTCTGCCTCTCGACTTCTCCTGTCTAGGCTTGGGTAACCTGGCAGTATCCCAGCCCTCATGCTTCCTTCGGGTGTCATGGCAGCTAGGCACAGGAAGGGTGTTAGAGCTGAACGATTTTTTAGCCCCCCCTACAGTTCCTTCGCTGCGGTGAGCTTAAGACTGGAAGCTAGGCAGTCCGACATGTCTTCGCCTGATAGACGGAGGGTTGTGATACATTCCGTCGTTCTGTTATAATACGGTACCCTCCTGACCCTTTGGGGCCTCCGGCGGCAAACCAACATCCCAATATTTTGTTGTACACTTTAGAGTATCGGTCACCAAACAATAGTAAGTCCTAACCGCTGCGGCATCCTAAACTACGAATCTCCCTCCAAGTATGAAAGGACCAACCGCGTCGCTATTTTTGCCACATAAGGGCTTCTGGAACTTGTTTGTCTTTGCAAATTAGACATGAAGCCATTAAACTTGAGATAATAACATTGCAGGTAGTATGGACGTTCTTTACCATTTCAACACTCCGTAGCTCCAAGTCATCACATCGTTCGCCATTCGTCAAAGCACCCAGTCTGGCCATACTTGCAAGTGGGCATATCCCGCGAAAAGTATTCGATCCCACAGCAGAGCGAGATAGATAAAGTATCCAACCCATTGGAACGTGTTTATTTGAATTGTTCCGTGCTCAATAAACATAAAGGTCGTGAATTTGTGATCTCAAGGCGTTCCTCGGAAGTCGCTTCTCATCGATGGCTGAACGTTTAAGCATCCGGTTTTCTACCCTTGATTACCAAGCTACTTATATGTTTCGAATCATCTGGGGCACTTTAGAATTCGGTCACTTGTTCCGATGGACATTCACCGATATGCCAAAATCCGAGAGTTCATTCCGTAAGGTAATGGCTTCGCCGCATTTCAGACTCAGGCAAAATACCACATTTTATGAATTCCATGAAAAGGCAGAATGGAGAGATAGCTTAACGATTCTAAAAGTCAATGTCAAAGTAAAAATAAAGCGTTTGCGGTTACGGTGCTAAAATGACAGTGGTACGAAGGGGTGGTTCATGCGGAGACCGCTTCGGTACTCTCATGGACTGGTAAGAGCAGGCTGAACTACACTACCACTTACGTGTACTTTCGCGAGTTCTGCCTATGCCTAATTCATTCCCATGCTCTCGTTCTACGCCCGTCTGTTGAGCTGTTGAGCTTTTACACTTCGTATCGTTCTTGACTTTGATGTCGCTTTGATGGTTTGAACATAGGCTCCGCTTTTCAGAAGACCATCTGCCTCGCAGAGCTCTTTTCACTCTGCGCTGAGTGGAAGCGATCGAGAGGTGGCCAGTGTATTGCCTGACAACGAAGTTTAAAAACACCAACCAGTAATGGTCGTTGGCTTGTTCGCTGAACTGGGCAGTTTGATTGCAAACGCTTCATCACCAATCGAGGTGACATCATCAGTGCGTTATTGGGGAGCGTAGTGGTGCGTAGCGGTGAGTTGGTGGTTGAGATGTGTCACGACTTCCTCAGTGAGCAAAGAGAACAGATATGGTCATCCTAGTGGGAAATATAAGCGCCCAATTTGGGCGACAAAGCCCGGGAAATGCACATGTGGGTCCTACAGATAATAGAGTGTGACTGTTTCGGTTGTGTGCTGAACTTCGTCTGTTTCTGGGCAGTACGAATTTTCAGCACAAGAACCCACACAGGGTTACCATCAACGGCAAACCAGTCATGGACTCACTTGGTCCATGTGGCTATCAGTTACCGATGGAGAGCCTCAATTAAAGATTACCGTTCCTTCAAGTGTCCGCAACTTGATACCGACCATAATCCTATGGCTGTATCTCTCCTGCTCTCTGATTTTCTGGTGAGCAGGTTCGTATCAGCTGGAACTAGCTTACTTTTGGCACATAAATCATAGATGATAAACCAACAGGCGATTAACCATCTGGTTCAATTGACTGAGGAACGTACACTTTCTTATCGGCAGGAAATATAAGCGCCCAATTTGGGCGACAAAGCCCGGGAAATGCACATGTGGGTCCTACAGATAATAGAGTGTGACTGTTTCGGTTGTGTGCTGAACTTCGTCTGTTTCTGGGCAGTACGAATTTTCAGCACAAGAACCCACACAGGGTTACCATCAACGGCAAACCAGTCATGGACTCACTTGGTCCATGTGGCTATCAGTTACCGATGGAGAGCCTCAATTAAAGATTACCGTTCCTTCAAGTGTCCGCAACTTGATACCGACCATAATCCTATGGCTGTATCTCTCCTGCTCTCTGATTTTCTGGTGAGCAGGTTCGTATCAGCTGGAACTAGCTTACGTTTGGCACATAAATCATAGATGATAAACCAACAGGCGATTAACCATCTGGTTCAATTGACTGAGGAACGTACACTTTCTTATCGGCAGGTCTTACACTGAGAAAATTCAGACATTTTACCCGGTCTAATCGAGCAGTCAGGCGTATTAGTTATTGAGCTACTTGATCCAACAGCTTACGTTGTGGCTTCTGACATGGATGATTAGACAGAATAGTAACAGGAGCTGTTAGTGTGTGATAAGTAGGGTACTCGGTACATGAACGTTCTGGGGAAATCGGGGCAGACGTGAACTCGCCAGCTTCACATTGAATGAAAAGAGTGATTTAGTACAACTTGGCCGCTGAATACCTAAGACACATCAGATAGTTAGAACACTCAAAGGTCAGTTTGTTAGTGGAACTGATGTGGGTTTCTAAATATCTGAGCGTGGGCCGAGGCTGTACCCAGAAGACCAGATATTATGACCTAATTTGCTACACTTGCCTTTGTCAATGTGACTTCATTTTAATATGCAATAGCCCAACAATAAGTTCGGACTCATCGACTAGAACATAAAATAGATATCTGATACACCCCAGGTCTGTAATTCAGATTTACGTGTTCGCTGGCTTGAAAAGACCATAGCAACCTTTCAGGTTAAGGTCCAGCGAAGTGCTCGTTCACATTTCGGTCTCCATGCTGTCCACATCAACGCAAGCGCTACTGATTCAGTCACCGGTGCGCATTTTCGGAATAGAGTTGTCCAATCTGAAAGCTGGACGTTGTGGTTATTTTCCTCACTCATCCTGTTGCTCTTTGCGTCGAAAGCTAGGTCTGTCCAAAAGTGATTGAACAGTCTGTACAAGAGTCTACTGTTTTATCCTTCAGGTCTGTCTGAAGAAGAGCTTAGACAACTTAACCCTGCGGTGGCTGCAACGTTGAGTGCTTTGAAGCGTGGCCATAGCCTAACGCAGCTGTACACTGATTATGTTCAAATTGTGGAGGATCGTGATCAACTACGACTAGACAAACAAAGATTAACGGAATACGTCAAGCAATTAGTGGACGACGTCAAAGAAAAAGGTGAGTCTTGCTTGCTGCTTTTGCACTTGTATAATCTCGCCAGCTTTGGTGAGGGGTGTTTTCCTTTCTGAGACTCTTAAAACCGCTAGGTAACTTTTTCTATATTCATGGTCATCGTTCCGTATCTGGTTGGTTTGCTAACACATTCATAGGTAGCCCATAATTTGTCCGTTCATACCTAGCTCCGATGCTTCGTGAACAACAGGAAAAGTATAAGCGAATGAAGGATGAAATTAAGGATCTGACCGCACAGCTGCAGTCAGTCACCAGGAAACTTGAAGAGTCTAACAACCAGCGTCTGGAACTCCAAAGAAGGGCCGGTTATTATCAGCGGGAGGTTGCTCGACTCAAGCACACCTGTGGTGACTTATCAAAACAGGTTAGTTGGCCGTTGCACTTTATGTTCTTTCTCTTATTACGTGTTTATATCTTTTTGATGGAACGATGTGCTGATTCGCACGATTGGCGTTGCAATTTCACCCCGATAAGCGTCTCCACTGAATATACCGTCTCTCATCCACCAGGATTTTAGGACATCCGGTAGTTCGAGGGGATCAGGTATATGGTGGTTTTCGCTGTCGGATGGACCTTGATTTCGATCCTGTTGGTGGTGTCAGAATAACGGATGTGTGCATTACGCTTGTATGGTTCAGATTCTTAAATGAACTTTACAAACCGCTAATAATCTTTGTGGAAAAACTCGAGTTGTAAAAGCTTCAGCTGCAGACGCCTTATGGACAGTTGGTCATCAGGACACCCAACTCCGGAATGTGAGTAGCATATTTAAGGACGTCAAACACGATTTTGATTAATTAGTGATCACGTCATTACATCACGTCAAGTGTGGGAGCAACAGCGCGTATAAAGCAGACCAGCAATAGCCGGTTTTCCTGATTTTAGAATGAATTTCTCCAATGGCTTAATCCATTTGCACGTACTGGACCAAGTAAGAATACCCATGAAGTATTTAAATATGCATCTACCTTCTATTTTGACGCTTCTGGCCATGTGCTCTCTTTACACGAACGTGGTTCCAAATCCGGCTCGAACAGTTACCGACCCATTTCTATCCCCCTCATTTCATTTAAGCTTTTTGTATCAATCCCTGTTGAACAAACCCTGCGAGCACTATTCCAGGTAAACTGAACTGTGACAGTTAGACTAACTACATACGGTGCTGCTGCTGGTTACGATGCTGATAGTGACCATTATCATTGTGTTGACTATTTCTGGTGAAAATGGGATGCAACTAGAATTTCTCAAACGACAGTTAGCTGGCCATCCACTGTAATAAACGTACACGCCGTACAATAATTGTTGCTGCCATAGTTTCGTACGCCGGAAGTGGGGTAGATTGCTACGCATTGGTGGTAGGTGATATGATCGACTGGCCGTTGACAGGTAGGTAAAGCTAAAAGATTGTCATAACCGGTCACCGAATTCAACACATCTGGGTGCTTTCTTTCAGCAGGTACCTGTGACCTACAACTAGTAAACCAATTACAACCTGCCGCGGTTTTTTCACGTCTGTTTACTCATTACTTCACTCAAGGAAGGTTGTTCCAATCTACAACCTGGAGATGTACATTCATTTCGGTTAATCGCTCTACATCTTCGGAATCACAGCTGTTCTTCTTCCCGTTGTTGTGGGCGAGGCAGTTACATGCGGTGGTTCAGTGATCCGCTATACAAATTGATTACTTATTTGTTCTCCATTGTTCTCCATTCTTCATTGGGAGGAGTGCAAACTGCGGGGTGGTCGAGGGATAGCTTTTGAGGTTGGGTGAATTTCGGAGATCTGTGAGCTGATGTAGCGGTCCGTCTTCTGGGCTGGGGTTCTAGTACCCCATGTATCTTGTTGGAGACGTTAACGGTGATCGTTTGGGGGTATAGGCATCAGGTTGTTTGTGACAGTCTAGCAGCGTCTTTCTCTCTGTTTCAATGCTTTATTTTTTCCTCACCAGTCCTACAAAACATAAATTTGTTGCACGGCACTGAAGCATCGGCACCAAAACTGACGTTGAGCATATTCCCTTTTTCTTAAATCATCTAGTCCGCACATGAAGGTTTCCTTATCGGCGGTGCCATATAAATATGTTTTCATTCATGGCCACTGTGTTATACAGGTACAATTACTTCTTCGTGAAATTGAAGTCAGTCGAGGAACTGTAATCGAGCAACCTACTTTGGACCCTTCAGAGTCAAACATTAGTTCGCCAGTCCGCAGTGCACCTTCACCCGATAGCAGCACAATGACCGTAAACAATGCAACCCAATTGCTCGACGGTATTGCATCCGCCTCAGTAGTGATAGGGGAACACCTGGTGACTTGGCGTAACCTCCAGGAACTTCAATGGCAAAATCAGAGACTTCTAGGCGTTGCGCGTGACTTAGCGAGCCAACTTGAACAGCGTGAACAAGACGAGGTCGAAGCTTCGAAACGTGCCAACGAGCTGTCATTGCGGTTGGAATCACTTTCTGGTGAACTTGAAGTTGTGCGTTTAGCTGCACAAGAAGCTCGGAACGACGCGCGCATGAGCTCTCATCAGCGTGACCTCTACCGATCGCTGCTCAAACGCTATGACATAGAAGTTTCTCTCGAACACACCTTGAACGAATCTTTGGGCAGTGACGCAAGCAGCCTTAATGTGACTTCAGATAAACCACACGGTAAGCTTGTACAGACCAACGTTTTTCTAACTGGTAGCAATGTCAGCTGTCTACGTGTGATGGCCATTTATTGCTTATTTCATTTGGCAAGGTATATGGAATTACAGTGGAATTCATGGTAGATAGCTCAGTTAAGAACCTAGGGAGAAACGATACTTAAAAATCAAAGGTAGACGCGATCGCCCTTGTCACCATCAGTTCAACTGACTTGCATTTTCCGGTATTAATAATTGTATACCTTTGACACGCGTATTGAACTATCGTTCTAACTCCGCTCATTAGAGGAACCGACGAACTCAGTTAGCTGAATCCCTTGTGTCATCTGAATGTGTTCAGGTTTTTTTCGATGGGACTAAGGTTGTGGATCAGCCGGCTTAAAAGTCTGGTTGCGCGAATGGAAAGCAGGTGTGAATCTGAATAGTGTTTTGCTAGAATAGTATGTGCTACCGCCTTATAGCAACCACCAGTGACGCAAAACCTATTCACTCTTGACTCCCATCAGCTATTTTTAAACAAATCGAACGCATAAAGGATTGGTATTCATTGCGTGTACTTGTGTACTAAGGAGCGGCACTTGAGATTGTATTTACCTCATTTGTTGAACTGGTCGGAGTGGCCTTGATGAGTTTTAAACCGAGTAAAATTGAACATTCCAGGTTTTTGTGCGTTTCCATCATTCGCACTTTTTATGCGCGCAATCCACGTGGTTTTTCTGTTATCCTGAGCAGAAAATGCCGCTCAGTGCACCAATCTCTCTCTCTCTCTCTGTCTCGGTATTTTACGTTCCCCATGCTTCAGTGCCACTTCCACTTATAAAAAAATTTCCGTCTCGTTCGTTCATGAGTACGTGTATTTCAGCCCTCTTAATGCACTTCCTTCGAAGGTTAACTTCTAAGAACGAGTGGTAGCAGATCATTTTCAGTGAAAGCGTTCCTTAAATGGGGCGAGTGAGCATGTAACTACTTAACTAGTGCGCAAGTAGAATATTTTTAGCCATTAGTTGCTGTTATAAGTACTACGGTTATCGCCTCCTGTAACCCTGATGATCATTCACCTGTTAGTTGGACCGTATCTTCCTAACGATTGATATGTGATAAGTCAGCACTCAATGACGGTTCGAAAGGTATACTGTTTCGCACAATATGCCCAAAATATAATAACTAAGTGAGCCCTCTGCCCATTTGTGCGCATCTGTACCTCACGTTATGGTTTGCACCTAATCGCTCTGCCAGTGACTTTTCGTTGTGACATCAAACCCTGTCGTTTCATCCACTGCAGACAAGTCCAACACTACGATAACCGCTGGAACAATAGAGCGAATGGAGGAAACGCTGAGTTCGTTGGAAGCTGAGTTCAAGCGGTATCGTGATAACAAAACGGAATCGGACAAAATCTACTCGACCACCATTGAACAACTCCGCAAAGAGGGCAACGAAGCGCGGATTCTTAATCAAAAGCTAGCTTCACAGGTAGCACTAGCTGTTATTTTCCGAGACTCACGACTGTTTTATTTCGGATGAGATATGAAGTGGCCACGTCCTAACAAACACAGTGAGCTAGTTTCCTCTCAAGGGACCTGGAGGAGTTTAGATTGTAGGGCTCCTTGTAATGGCTTTTGTTTTGTAATTTCTTTGTAGTTTTTCCACAGTCACCGAATCACTATCTGGTTTATTCACTGCGATTGGGAGCGAAATGTTTGCAACGAAGCTACCGACCAACCCGACCAACAAATGAACAATCTGAGCTGCCGAAATTCTTTTCTATGTCAGATCCGGCCTTAGCCGAGTCTTGGGACATTGGGATAAAGTCGGATGAAAGTAGCACAATATCTAATTCTGATCTTGGATTGTTTTTTCGTGTTTCCAGTCGAAATGTGCTTAGCATGCAAGTGTAGCAAGGTGTATGTGAATTACCCAAAACTTGTATTGATTTTTGTCAGTGACATTGTTGTCAGGATCTTTGCTCTCTTTTTTACACTTTATCCTGTTCATCTTAATTTAGGACATGATATGTGATGAACAACTCCTCCGAAGTTCTCGTGTAGTGGCGCTCCCAGCTCTACATGGAAATTATTCTGGATTTTGTATAAATAATTTTGAATTTCGACTTCATTCACGTCGCAGGCTGAAAATGGAAGTTTGTTTGGGGCTTTCGGCACAGCAATATCGGTAGAGAGGAGTTTTCTGTTTTGGCTACCTGATGGTTTTGCGACAATTATCAGGACTGATATTGTTGCTAGAATAAAGATGTATTGCGCGCACTTTTTGAGGTTGTACACTTTCTTTAAGGTTATCTCCTCGTTTCGATTGCATGCCACGGCCGTTTTCGTTGTTATATTTGCTTCGGGTTGATAAGCAAGTGAGTGTTTGTTAAGGTGCCAAGCAACTCCATTCTGGAATGCATCCAACATGCTGTCTAGGTCTCGGCAGTCTGACATTAATTCAGCCACTGGACTTCGTTACTTAAAGGTAGGCTGGGACACTGAAAGATATTGCGGCAGTTGATATAAATGGTGTCCTTGCTGTCAGTTTCTATCCAGACTGAGTGTTAGAGATGTAGGCACGTCGAACGTTTGTTGTGGGCTGCCGCTTGACCTGTGTCTTCACCCCACCTTTCTTTTCTTTCCTTATGCGGCCTTAAATATGTTGGTGTGTTACCGCATTGGTTATGAATGGACAACATTCCGTCTCCACTGGAGGACTGGGGTCTTAAGTCGTTGAGCCCACTTTCACGTTTAATCTTTCTTGTATTCAGCTGGATTTCACTCATGAAAAGCTTCGTACCGTGGAGGCAAACGTTTCTGGATACAAGCAAGAGATTACAGTGTTGCGTGAGATGAACGCCCGTTATTCAACTTCGGCCGCTGCCAGTGAAGCTGAGCTTGTTCGCCTTCGTGAAGACTTGCTGCGCACCTCTGACAAGTTATTGCAGGTTGAGGTAGATGCCCGTCAGTTTTCTCGCCAGCTTGAAATTGCGAGGGCCAATGAGAACCGTTGGCGTCAGGAAGCAGAAGCACTTCGTCGTCAAGAACAGATGCACACCCAATTAATGCGTCAACTAGAGGCCATCCAGGTACGGTTACTGCAGAGAACCAGGGCACATTTATTGGTTTACTGGTCTTCCTTTCCCCAATTCATTTACATCTCTGTTATCCCGAGTTCATTCGTGTCACACACGTATGATGGCGTATTTTACCCTATCTCACCTGTCACAGGGTAACCTTGAACAACGAGATTCAGTTGATCGCAGTATTATGGAGAAGCGGGTCGGCCAGTTAGAGTTGCAACTCAGTGAAGCACAATCAGCATTTACTGAGGCCTCCCAAGCTTCAAAAAGATTGAAGGAGACGTTGGAGCACGAGCTCGAGGTTTCTAAACACAAAGCGACCACGGCGGAAAGCGAAGTCGAACGTCTTCAGACGCTTGTCACTTCTCTTGAAAGGGAACTGGAAATGCTGAAGCCGAAGAAAGGTTAGTGGTTGTGCAGATTACTGTTGGATAATTAATCACTTTCTGCCCGCCAGTTGCCCTTCTCTAGGCTCATATATTTTGTCGTTGCTGCACTCTGGGCCTTGTTCTGGGTTATCAGTCCGAACAGTTGAATACTTGCCTACCACTTTTATTCTGTTGAGTTCAATGGCCCTTCTATTGCAACGTATGTTGCCTCATCATAGGCACTCCTGGGGTGGTTTTTAGTGTAGATATTCGTGGCCCGCTATTCTGCTTTGCGCTAACAATAGTTGGCGCGTGAAAGGTGTATCTTGTTCGATTTCATGTACTTCTTCACTGCTTGATTGTTCTGCGTTTGGAGTGCTGCTCGAACCCTATCATTCTTAACATCGTGCCATACTACCGAAACATTGGTAACCTACAACTAGTGGTGTAGATTTTCCACGACAGGTTAGTCGTTGCGATTTTCGTAGTTAAATCTAATGCGAATTTTTAACCCCTGCACTGATTTACCTTTTGACAAAGATGCACTCAATTCTGCAAAGTACAATCCTTTGGATAAACCTGGTTCATCAATTGTACCTGGTTTTACACATTCATATCCAATTAGATTAGCCCACTGACAGTGCTGGATTTATGCACCAATTTATCAGCTCCCGCTTGCAACGCGCAGCTACCTGCCCCCCCCCCAAACCATCGGTGAACGAAACTGCGGCAGCTACAACCACAGTACGACGAGTACGCGGTTATTACAGCTGACAATGATGATGAGATATTCCATGAGGTGTATTGACTCAAATATAACGTGGAAAATACCGGGTCCTAGTATGTGCCACTATTTTTCCGAGCTGTACGGTACAATTCTTACTGGACGAGCATTCCACACATACCACCTCGGTCTTTGTCGTCCTTACAAAACTGCCAGAATTTCCTGTGTTAGCATTTCACTGCTATCGTAAATTTATTTCGCGCATATTGTAACTATGCGGCTCGAATTACGTCCCTTGTCACGTTGACCATAGCTAGGTGCGTTCACTTATTACGATGTTCTTCAGGGGAACAGGTGTTGTTTATATCGTAGCTCAGGTTCTCATTGTTTTACAATGTATTTTCACCAGTCAATTAGGTTAAATTTTGCTGACGTAGAGTAGGCTCTGGTTATCTGTCTTTGGCGCTACGTCTAACGTGTTCTCTAAGGGAGGTTTTCATCAGGCCTGAAAATAATGGTGTATGATCGTAATTGCAGTCACTTCTGGAATGTTTCACAGGTTAGACAAATCTTTGCTCGAGAAGCATTGTTTCTAGCTGCGTCGTGTAAAATGCTCAGGCTAATGAAAACAAAGTTTTACTGGGAAACAGATCCAGCTGCATTTCGGGATGCATCATGAACTTCCTAGTTTACTTTTACTGGTGGTTTGTTTCTGTTATCCTGTATTCCTATTTGCGATAGAAGACGTGGCGCAAAGAATCGCAGTTGAACCTGTTTCCACTACTGGATGAAAGTCTCAGAAAAATACCCTGATTACAGAAGCAAAAAGCCCTTCGCTCGCTGAAAGCCTTGTGAAATGAACATTAGTTTCTACCATGTCCATCATTCTAAGTTGACTTGAAATTTCTGTTTAAGTAAGGTTGTCAGCGGGGTTTTTAGAACATTTATGCCTGTGTGATTTCATGGTAAGTCACCATGCTGCCTGCAAGTCCGTAGAAAACACGAGAGACAGTCCACAGACAAACATTTCAAAGGTGTTAGTTTTTCCTAAAGACTGGCAGCATTTGCTTATCTGACACGCGGCATGTGTTTGTATCGTTCGCTGTTCCTCCCGAACCGACTTCTGTTGCGCGTGATGTGCTCTGCGTAGTGTGTGCCAATTCTTTTGTCTTCTCATTTTATCTTCAGGGCTTACGGCCCAATCCCGCGGTTGTGTGTAATTTTACAATTTCTCTTTTGGGAGTAACTTGAGGATCGGTAAGCAGTTGGGAAGGAAACAGTCTAATGGCGTAGAGTTGGCCGCTGTTTGGAAAACTTTGTATTGACGAATAGCCCTCACTGTGAACAAGATATCCGATGATATACTTTCCATTACCGTCCATTATCAATACCATTGCCCTTTATTATCTAGAGGGATTTCGTGACAGAACAAATTAACCCTAGACCATTAGTAGTGTTTGTCTTTTCCATAAGAGGATTTCGAGCTATTACAGGCCTGTTCAGAAAGAGCTAATGTTTATATGTGTGGTGAGCGCACACGCAGTAATCGGATGACAACAGCAGGTGGTACACAGCGTCTAAACGTAGGACTAACTGTTAACAAATTAATATGTGTAATTTCAAACTTGTGCTTTTTGGTGGTCAACAGGCAGACACCGATGAACACGTACAGCCAAGCTGACAAGCTAAATGCTCAGGTCAATTGTGTAGGATTCGTGACTGGTACCTTCTATGCTCCTAGCGATCCCGTTGCAAGTGAGTTGTGACAGTGCAGTCAAAAGGCCAGGTTGATCGTTTTTCGTTTATGTATCGATCATGTTGGTTAGGTGTAGACAAAAGTTTGTTTCACTAACTTTCGTAAACGAAGTAAGTGTTCATGTGCAACATTCTCAATCAAGGATGGCAAGCCGAAAGCGGACTACAAAGCCAAATAATTATATCCAACGTAGATTGCCTATTGGACATTTGATGCCTTTTCTTGTTAGTGTTTTGCAGTTTTGGTTGGACTAAAGTCGTGATATAATCCATTGATAACCGTAGTCGGTGTGAGGTAGCGCAATGGTTAATGTGCGAAATTACTCTCCGAAAGGTCCGTGGTTCGAACCCAGCGTCTACATCTCGGCTGACCCCGTGCTTCCTTCTGGTGGCATGGCAGCTAGGCACAAAAAGGGTATTCCAGCTGAACAATTATTATAAGTGTTATTTATTTTGGTCACCGGATGCTTCTGTCGGCGCTAAGCTGACTTTGATCATGGCTGTGGAAAGTGACAAGATTTCACATCCACTAGAGGCTCTCAGGTAAAACTCTTTGGTAATATCTGATCGGTGGGTATCAGCTCGCAGAAAATCTGCTCAGTTTCCACCAGATTAGTTTTTGATGCGTCCATACCCAAAGTACTTGATACTCACATCCGCAAATCTGCTTCAAAATTAGGATCGAGAATGTTACACCCCTATGAACGATGCCGCCAAATTCGATCCGATACATCTAGCTCTCAGTTAGCAGTTGGGATCTTTGGTTATACTGTTGATGATTGAAAAGTAAAATTACACAGTTTTCCTCCGCTAGGTTTCCCAGGTCTAGGTGGGAGCAGTCAAAATGCCGGCGTTGGGTTCGAGCCACAGACTTTTATGTCAGTAAATTCGCTCCTTAATCACTGGGCTATTCCGAGCTGATGACTTACCTGTAATCCAACGATTGGCGCAACCAATAAGCACTGCATATTGTGATTTAGAGGCTTACGATTAATTTTAAACTTCTGGATGAGAAACCCTATGATGTCCAGGGTGTCTTTCCGCATTCTGTTTGTGGTCTGTTACCTGGGGCGCATTTAGATTCCCCAAAAACCTCTGTCCTAGAAGTTCAGCAGGAGAATTAGAGGGTTTGAGTATATTTGCCTTTTTCGTTTCCGTGTCTTGTATTATCTTCTGTGTGTGATTAGATGGGCTGCTTCCACCATAGGCTCTGCCGACGCCATTTGCAGGTATTCTGCTACTGGCGGACACTAGATGTAACGGAGGCATTGGCTCATTATTCCTATTCCCTCGACTTTATCTCCTCACTCAAGCAGATCGCACTTGGAGCCAAACTTTTATTTTTCATTTTTTTCCGTACTCCTTGTACTATTCAGTAATCCTCCATATATCAAGATATCTCGGCATTCCGAATCCATTGCACATTGCGGCGAAGCGTACTGGTCCCTACATCTGTGTCCGTAGATCTGTCTTCCGACCACTCTCTGACAGTGTTTCTCGTTGCCTGTCTACCTTTTGAGTTTGTCTCTTAGCCCTTTATGGCATCCATTCTTTCCATGGGTGAAATCTTCATCTCTGTCTCGTTTAAACTTCAGTTTCTGNCAGGGTGTCTTTCCGCATTCTGTTTGTGGTCTGTTACCTGGGGCGCATTTAGATTCCCCAAAAACCTCTGTCCTATAAGTTTAGCAGGAGAATTAGAGGGTTTGAGTATATTTGCCTTTTTCGTTTCCGTGTCTTGTATTATCTTCTGTGTGTGATTAGATGGGCTGCTTCCACCATAGGCTCTGCCGACGCCATTTGCAGGTATTCTGCTACTGGCGGACACTAGATGTAACGGAGGCATTGGCTCATTATTCCTATTCCCTCGACTTTATCTCCTCACTCAAGCAGATCGCACTTGGAGCCAAACTTTTATTTTTCATTTTTTTCCGTACTCCTTGTACTATTCAGTAATCCTCCATATATCAAGATATCCCGGCATTCCGAATCCATTGCACATTGCGGCGAAGCGTACTGGTCCCTACATCTGTGTCCGTAGATCTGTCTTCCGACCACTCTCTGACAGTGTTTCTCGTTGCCTGTCTACCTTTTGAGTTTGTCTCTTAGCCCTTTATGGCATCCATTCTTTCCATGGGTGAAATCTTCATCTCTGTCTCGTTTAAACTTCAGTTTCTGTTTCTTAAGTATCGTTCAACTCAGACGAATAGCATCCTATTTCAGTACGCAAAACTACTTTTTCATGGCTTCAGATTCCACTACAGGCACTGAGGCCGATGAAGACGGTTCGTCGGCCGAGGCGACAAACAAGGACTCACCTTCCCGCCAAATGGAACTGCAGCATGAAGTTGACAGCTTGCGCATGAGGGTGGATGCAGCACGAGAGCAGGCAGACAAAATGCGTGACCTCGCTGAAAATGCGGAGCTTCGTCTCAACGAAATGATGCAGGAAACTCAGCTCCTTCAAGAACGACTCGGATCTGAACTGGAACAAACTACTCAACGTGAGTCAGCTTTTCTTGAATCTGCCTTCGTGTGAATTTGCGCTCGTTCTTAGTGGTCCATTATATGATGTTCGTTGTCCTTAAATAGTGACTTACTGATCCTAAGTTGTCAGACTTAGGGATAACGTCCCCTCTGGAATCCATGTTTTCGCTTTTTCATTGAAATTGTGTTCAAAATACATTCAAATATGTGAAAAGTGTCACCGTTTAGACGCATTAGTTTGTCAAATGTGTCGGATTTGGTATTTCTCCACCCTTAATATAATTTTGTATCAGAATTTAATCCTAATGTGTACTACCGTGTGAAAGCCCTGTGATTTCCTCACGTGTACGAGTGTTTCACCGAACCGGTAGCCGTTCAGCTGTAGCACCCTTTCGGTGCCTAGCTGCCATGGCAACGGAAGGAGGCACAAGGACTGACATACTGCCAGGTTTCTCAAGCCTGGACAGAAGCCGTCAGGATGCTGAGTTTGGGTTCCGACCACGTACATTTAGTCCATAAGCTGTCGCCTTAACCACTCAACTATCTCGAGCTCGCCGAACCAGTAAGATTCTCATTAAAATGCTGCCTCCATAAGTACCACCCGTATCCTTGTGTGCTGTATGGATCGACAGAATCACGTGTCGTTACCAAATAATCTATTTAATCTATTTAATCTATTTAATCGTATCACTGTTCAAGTGTTCCAGACAACCTATTCTTGGGGATGCCACACGAACGTTTTTAATTAAAAAAAATCCAAATTCAAGTTTGTAATTTTGGGGTACACTGCTTCCAGTTCAATCATTTTGGGAATGCTCTCACTAAGTGGATCATTGACTTCAGTGAAAGATCAGCCTACCTGAGATGCATGGCTGTTAAGTGTGCTGTCCGAAAAGGTTAAAATTATTTATGCCTACTAGGGTAAATTTAAATTTTACAGGTAAGAATCACGTTCAGTGCGGTTTTGAGGTGCATCACCTTCTCACTGAAGCCAGTACGGCGTCGGAAATCCCTGCTTCGTTCTGAAAATGCACGTTTGCTTTTGTCGGAGTTCATTCAGAAGCCTTTCAGAGACTGATGCAGAAGGGTGTAATTTGAAGTCGAATACAGTTCCATCATGTGATAGAAATTCCTCTTGCCATAAACGGGATCTGAGAGGCAAAGTGTAGAGTCTAATTTTGTTCGGAAAATTGCGTAAAATCTGGTGGTTTTACAGTACCGATCAGTTATACTCTACTCGGCAGTCGGTTTTTGTTCAATCAACTTTGTAGTATGAAGGCTTGGTACTTCATCGGTGCATAAGTGCTGCTTAGCCCCTATCTCCAAAGCACAGTACTTGGTAGTTTGGTACTTTTCTCAGACTATCATCTGCAAGCACCTGATGAGAAAAGGTAGTGCTTACAAAAGAGGGATCTTCATCATCATTTCGCAGTTGATAACTAATCTTCGAAGCCTGTGGAAATTACCAGGCCGCGTTTTAAGTGGTTCCATAGGTCAAGAAATCGGAGATCAAGAGTGCGGAAGCATTTTGGTGACTGCTGATTTCACTAGGTATAACGGTGGTGAAAGGTTCCTTCCATTATAGCGTCCAATCAAAAGTGGGCTTATGCGGTCTCCAGACTTTTTTATGCTTAACTCAAGTCGTCCTTTGGAGGATTTTGTATTATATGGTTTCATCAGTGCTAAATACATTCCCAGTGTTTTACTTTGCTAGTAAGCATGAAAGTCTTTCGATAAATTTGCCAGTCGTATCCTGTGATATACTAGAAGCCACAGTAACCGAAGCAAAAAGTAAAACAAATTGAAAACCACCTTTGTACTCAGCCATACTTCTCTTCAACATCAAGATTGTGCTTTCGAAGTCTTGCAAGGCGGTTGATGAGACCTTGTGATGAAGACTTCAGTTTCCTGCAACGGAATCCCGTCGTGATCTCGCATCTTTCAACCATTCATGAGCCATTTGGTTGAAATATGCGTATTTGTGATCAGTGTAGAGATAATTTTTTATTCCCGTTTACTCTTCTCGGAATGGTCTTCATCAGACGCTGACCGTCAGTAATTCGTTCTACATTAATCGTTCGTTTGTCGTGCACCTAAGTTATCCGCACTGTCCAATGCGGATAGCTATGACCGATGCTTCTTCCTCTGTGAAACGGTTGAAGAGCACATGAGGAACCCACGGACGCAGCACTGAAGACACTGAAGACATTCAATAACTTCCTAACAACTTCAGCATGATAGATTCTGAACAGCAGATTAAGAATCTTCGGGCTGTTTTTTCACTGTTCCTTTGCCTGAAGTCAAGTCATTTTTCACTTGGGACTTTCATGTCCGAGATGTCGGACACTACGTTACCTGAGCTAACAATATTTACCTCAATAGCAAACTTGAATGAATCTCAAGACCAGAGTTCAACTAGTCACTTGAATTCTGAATGATAGTGGAATGACGGGAAATGCGTGACGGCCATCTGGTAATAACTAGCAGTCACAACGACCCGCCATGAAGTCACCTAGGATGGAACAAGATTCATTTAACTGAGGGGAACTACATACAAGGGTGCCGAAAACTCTTCGGCAGCCCACAACCGGTTTCGCCCTTCTTAAGGCTCATCAGGTAGGCGCAGTCCCCGAGCTTCCGTCAACCTTATGATCTACTTGAACCCCAATTGGACTGTTTTCGAGAAACACACTCATTTGCAAACCAAGTTGGTTTTCACGAGAGACTCAACTGCATCTCTCGTTTACGATACCCTACAACTGAATGTGCTGCACACGGGCCGCCTCATGATTCAGTTGGCACGATATTCGAGATATCGCAGTATATTTTCATAAAGGAAACTACTCACAAGGTTGCTGAAAACTCTTCGACAGCCCATGACCGGTTTCGGGTTCAAGTAGATCATAAGGTTGACGGAAGCTCGGGGACTGCGCCTACCTGATGAGCCTTAAGAAGGGCGAAACCGGTTGTGGGCTGCCGAAGAGTTTTCGGCACCCTTGTATGTAGTTCCCCTCAGTTAAATGAATCTTGTTCCATCCTAGGTGACTTCATGGCGGGTCGTTGTGACTGCTAGTTATTACCAGATGGCCGTCACGCATTTCCCGTCATTCCACTATCATTCAGAATTCAAGTGACTAGTTGAACTCTGGTCTTGACTAGGAGTCAACTGGTCACTTCACCTCTGAGTTCACAACCCTAATGTGGCTGTTAGAAAGGTTACACTCAGTTTTTCTTGCTGCAGACGTTATGCGGTGTTCCGCCTATTATACTATTTCAATAGTGGTTGTGACGTCACAGTTCTATGTTACATATCGCTCGCACACTAAAAAACTGACCCAACATTAGCCCGAATGGTCTTAAAGACTCTGCATGCTTTCACGATATCAGTGACTTTGGTTTTGGGCAACTAAGCGAGATAGGCATCTCAGATGATTCTGGATTCTCTCCCCCACCTTCATCGAGTCCCAGTTGGTTACATTTCATGCTTATAGACTGTGAATAGAGCGTACATCTCCTACCCATATTTTTTGTTAGAAGCTTGATCTCGCAAATGGATTCGCAGTTCAGTGCTGCGTTTCATGGAGTGATCGGGAAATACTGTCGTATCTTAATTCGTTGATGCATATCCCTACGGATCTACTATTCTGAATTCTCAGCAACCCTTGTAATTTTTTCCTGACCTAAAGCTCCAACTTTGTCAATGTGGTTGAGCCTCACTAGTGTAGTGATCTGGAATCCAGTAGCTAGAGGTCAGCTCTTTTGGGTTCAGTTTTCAAGGAAGCTCATTGGGAAGCAGTCCGACCAAGAGCATCGAGTCATCGTACGGCGAGAAGTCGTATTATCGGACGGTCTGGGAGTAAAGCCGTACTTTTCGCTGCGACAGGTATGTGGGAATAGTGAAGCATTTCTCCCAGGGAACCAGCGTCTCCATATTTGTGGAATTAGTGATGTCACCTACTTGTGAAGACCAAAGAATTAGAAAAGGGCGATCCTAAAAACCATACAGTCTGCTCGCCCAACGGCTTACCAAGGCTGCCGATGAACTATCCAATGTGGTCGAAAAACAGCTAAAAATAAAGAGGTGCGTGCTGCTCGGAAGGCGCCGACTGTGACATTGGAACTCAGACATCAATGCCTTAGCCCCTTCGTCCTCACGCTTGGACAGTCACTGACTACCATGTTGTTCAGAATTTGAAGTCAAAAGCTCGGTGAAAGGTACTCTAAATAAGTTCCTATGTACACTCTCAGCAGTAAAAAAACACCTCTCGCATTTGATGGCATATAGGAGAGAAGGAACATACGTCTGCGGCTTGTAATCTGCAACGTCGATAGGGATGGAGGGAACAGGTTTGAGGAGGAAAATACTCTTGTTCTAAGAGGACTCAGACGCCACACTGTAGACTCAGTGAGACCTGGCTAGTTTACCAAGGGAGCTGCAGCAGCATGGCCGTGGTTATACGTTCTACTAAAGTAAGACTACACAAGAAATCCGACGTGAATACGCCCTCGGATTTTCACTGGCCCACTAGTGAATCACAGTAGTGAATCGACCGATCTTTACCAAATCAAGATTGATGATCATCTGACTCTTGTCTTCGATAGCAAGTTTGCCGTATTTAACAGCGCCCCTGCATGCACACTACCGCAAACATATGAGGAAAAGAACAAAATTCATAATCAGCTGTCGGACTTGGTTAGATCAGCTGCTTCAAGTGGTCTTGTGTGTCTGTTGAGCGGTTTTACTCCTCGGATGGACATGCACTGAGAAACTTGGAAGAGGATGCCGGGCCCATTTGAGACTGGCTCACTGGACTACAACTGTTTGTAACAAGCACGTGGTTTGTCTGTCGACCTCATCTATAACCGTGAAAGCTGGGTTGCAAACTCGCGGAACGATCTCGAGCTAGTTCGAAATGACTACCGAATTGAAACCTGGCTATGTTCTTGCCTGCGCCCTATGTAGCCTGTATTTGACAACCATCTGCTGATTACAGCGTGCTTCTACACTAAGTGACCTGGAATCCTTCTCTGTCGTGGAGTCACTACAACGGTAAGTGAAGGGCTTCGATGGCTGGTTGCAATTTATGGTTTGCCAGAGGAGACTGTTTCTGTTGGCGGGCTTCACTTTCCAATTGGCGAGTTCTTCTTGTTTGTGTGCAATAACGGCATCAAAAATTCTCACGGTGCCCGCTAGTGATGTGGTTGAAAACCTATACAAGCAATTCAAATCGCAGATGGGTGTAAGACTTTGGCAGGTGTAAGCTTTGGCAACTTACCTAGCCACACCACACCGAAACGTTTAAAACGAATATGAAATTGGAATTGATCATTGGATGATGAATCCGAGCGCGCCTGACTGCTTCCTTCATATGCAAAGCAAGTGCCAAACCCGAGCAAAATATAGATGTTCGGCTCAAACCTATGACGTGTAGACCGGCTCGCGTACGGAAGTATCATTCATGGAAAGGAAAAAAAACCACTTCGGAACACCTGTAGTGGTTTTAACCAGGATCCATTATTCTAGAAAATGAGAAAAAACTGAATACTACATGACTTCGCCACATCACAAAGTATCACAGAAACACCACCACCCCATCTATTTAGACTTTTCCTGCATGCACTCCTGAGTTTAGGCAATCAGGTCGATCTTCTCAGTCTTTCCAGCACTAAAACCTAACAGAAGAATATGGTTCTAAACTTACACCGTTTGCGACACATCTCACCACGTATCCTCATAGCTGTAACAATGCGGTGCTCCGCTGTTTACAGCACGGGTATCAGTTATACTCCAATAATAACACCCACAAAGGGGGGAGATGATGTGTCCTGTTTTTGACAAATTCGTCTTCGATCCTGCTCACCTCTGCCGTTCCACATGCGTTGCTGTCACCCACCTAGCATGCGTAGGTGATTGTGATCGCAGACCGATCCAGCACGCTGGCTGTCTCCACCTATGATTCACTGTCTGCTCAGGCGCTGTTGTCTCTCGTGTTGGTGTGTTTTCCAGTTTTCTACGGATCCGCTGGTAAAAAGTCTGCTGTTGCCATGTTGTGTTCATTATACAAAACATAAGGGTGACCACACCAAGTAACGTTTTTGGGCCCCTGTTCACTAACTATATAGCGTTCCGGGCTGGGAGGTTAGGGCGCATTTCGCCGCTGGAAAGGCATGTCCTTCCCTTGCAAAATCACATGGTGTTTGTTAGGCACAACCACTAACCCACCGCTACGCACCACTACGCTCCCCACTAACGCACTGATGTCACCTCGATTGGTGATGAAACGTTTGGGATCAAATAGCCCACCTCAGCGAACAAGCCAACAACCATCTACTCTACCTGAGCTACCGATGTTCACCTTTATAGAAAATTCGACACATTGTGTATTTATTGTCTTATCACAGCGGACTAGATATTTACCAGATTGTGATTGTAAATATTCGGAAAGAATGGCCTGATGCAGCTGTGGATTGTAATCTTATGCTAAACAGTATTACGGGATCGGAATCGGAACCCTAAGGTCACATAGTCTTCCTTTTTTTTTGAGCTGCTGGGTCCGTACAGGATCCTGCAGGAGAATTTCCAGCCTCGTCTTGCTTGCTAGGTCATCATGTCAAAGAACTCAGACAGGAGTCTGGTGTAACTGAGCTACATAATCTGGCTCCGTAGCTTTTTTGATTTTCCCTGCAAGCAGATTTGCAGATGTGTTTGGTCGAAGCGATTTCCCACCTTTTATGTTCTGTTTCCCTTTTTGCAACTTCCTCCTACATTTTTGTAGTCTTTCATAAACTATTCTACGTTTTTAACTGCGTTACTAACTGATCGCAGTAGAATGTGTTCAGTTTTCAAAGAGATTTATAACGACATATGGAATACAGTTTTCCGTCACATGACCAAGCGAACGTAGTACGTCTGCAGCGAATACTTTGAGATCTAGTATACTATCATGTAGGCCTGTCCTTTGAAACTTTGGCGCCTAGAAAAATCAACCGCAACTTTCGTGCTCAACCGAATCTGTGTCTTGTATGAAAATTGCATATGTAACCTTCGAGTCGAAATCCTGTGTTTGCCAAGTTTTTAACCACAAATATTTCAGTTTTTTTGAGATTATTTCCCCAACTGTTTCCTCAACTGTTCCAGTCATGTGCGAATATTCAATACTGCGGAACAAATTTAAATTGCTGAATTGGCATCCAGGATGATAACCGCGATGCATGCGCTTAACTTTTTTGTATGAGGCCTCGTATTTTATGCACAAATTCTGCTTACTCGCGGTCCTTTTTTAACATGCAGTTCTATAGCTCACGACGTTTCCTACTGGTGTATCATTGGCCTTTTCAAATGTATGGTTTTCCTGTCATTTTAGGTTGTGAATTTCTGGAAGCGCAGCTTGATTTAGAGAAAAAGGAGCGTCAGAACCTGGTCAACGAGAATATTCGCACAACTGAGGAAGCACACCAATTGGTTAGTGTGGTTAGCTTGTGCATGTGGCATCTGGAAACACGCCGCATTGCCGTGTTCACTCATCTGTTATATATATATATATATATATATATATATATATATA